GAGCCAGGTGTGACTGCACAAATATAAACAAATATGATAATTACAGCACTTGGGAGGCTGAAGTAGGACGGTGAATTCAGTGCCCGTCTGGGCTGCTGAGTGAAATCCTAGAGAAGACAAGGCCAGAAACCCTCTCAAGAGTTCTCCAGTAATAAGATGTTCAGAGGTTCTGAGAAGAACCTGGAAACTTCATGGAACAAAGTTGTCCTTAGAGGGCTTCCGACCAGAGCTAAAACACAGGCTGTCTATCAGATGGGGAGTGTGGTCTAAAGGACATGACCTAGGAGGCATAGAAAGTGCCAGGCGTGGAAGTGGGGAGCCGGTCAACTCTGGGAAGGCTGCCCGGGGGTGACCTTGGAGGAGTGAAGACCGACTGTCCCTCCAAGGTCAGGCTTCTGGCCCCTGTTGACTGAGGTTGTGTGCCTGCAGATCCCTCCAATGCAGACTCCCATCCTTTCACAAAACCCTCAGAAACTCAGTAACTCAGACTGTCCTAAGCATTCCAGATTTTTCTGTTGTACTCTCTGGAGGATTTCCCATTTATGTATCTGGGGTACAACAGTGGGTGTTGGGTGCCGTGAACTGGGGCACCCATGGTTAATGCTCTTGGAGAGGACCCTGGATTCAAGGAATTGGCTGGCAGGGAGGCCCACTGGCCATGGTGCCCACTCCTACGGATTCAATAGCAGGTCCTGTCCAAAGATGAAGGAAGGAGCTAACAGGAACCCCCCTGCTGCAGGAAGTGATTACACAGGCCAGGCATTACAACCAAGGGCCTCTAGGACCAGCTCTGGGCCTTGCTGTATTGTATTTGGCCCATTTGATGTTTTCAGAACCCACGAACAGCAAGGCTTTCCGGCTTCTTTTGATCACTCCTGAGGCCTGGGCCCACCTCCTTCCTGTGGGGCACACCCTGTTCCTGGTCTCTACTGGCCCCTGACATCACAGGGGCTAGGCACTGATTCCACGGGGGTGAGGTGAGAGGCCACGATACTGGTCTCCAGTGGGAAGAAGGCTGGGCTCCTCCGTGGCTATGTCCTGACTCCTTATTTGCACATGGCAGAGAGAAGGGTCAAGATTTCAGGTCCTTAGGGTCCTATTCAGTGCTGCTGAAAATGGGGGCACGTGGCTCTAAGCAGCCTGAAGAGATTAACACTAGGGCCTCCGACAAAACACCCCACATCCCCAAAGTAGGAGTGGAAGAGAGGCACTGGGAGGTGGCGGACATTTATTTTTCCCATCACTTTTTTCTTGTGCAGCTCCTGGGGACCTATGCCCTTACCCACACTAGACAGGCGCGGTGCCACCAGCTGCAGCTCAGCCCCTTTGACTCTTTGCTTTTGGAGACAAGGTTTCACTAAGTGTCCTTGAACTTCTGCTCCCCTGCCTGAGCCTCCGAAGTGGCTGGGAACAGGCCACAGTCACTTTTACTCTTAAAACTAGGAGAGTGGATGACCCTAGGGACGCCACCGAGAGGCCCACCTCTCCTCTCTTTATCCTCAAGGATGAAGAGGAAAGATGTTCCCATGATTACTTTCGAAAGGAGGGCCACTTACCTACCACTGTTGAAATAAGCCAGTTGGAGACACCCAGTCTGGTCATGAGGGTCCTCCAGGGTATATCCTGATGGGCATTCCCAAGTTTTGTGTCCCTCAGAACAGACCCAGGTTCAGCCAGCCCTTAAGGACAATCTCTGTCTGTGGTGTCCTGATTAGGATCGGGCAATTAGGCCCAGTGTAAGCCCCCAAGAAAACCAACCTCTCCCCAGCTTCAAGGGCAGCTGGAAGCTTAGGATTTTCATGGAGATTCAAGGCAATTCCTTGAGACCTGATTCCTTGGGACCCTGTCGTTCATCTGTGGCCTGCAGGGGAGAGGGCATACTCTACGGCCTGGTTTCTAGGGATCTGCTAAGAGCCACCCCGCTGCCTGTGAGACAAGGAACGGATGGACATATCCATTACCTGGGAAGCCTGCACCCCTGGCCCACTGCTGTCCCTGGCTGTCCCTATGTCTTTCCTCTACCCTTCAGATCACACTAGCAAAGATGGCACATCCAAGTCATTAAACACACACCGCCAAATGCTACTTTCTTTGGACCTTGTAAAACTATCAGAAATCTCTCATACTTAACAAAACTCCCCGAGACAGGGGCTCACATAGTCAGGCTGGCCTCCAACTTGCTACATAGCTGAGGGTGGTGGTCCGCCTCCCCAAGGCTAGGATTACAGGTGTGCACTACCATGCCCAGTGCTGCCAGTCTTCCTAAGTCTTTTCACTAGCAGTGTGACTTCTGGAAGGTAATGTGGGGCAGGTAATGTGGAGCTGTTGTGCTTACCACTCTATTCCCAGTGTGTCTATCAGCACCTGGGACACAGCAGATCCACGGTAAACACCAAGGCAATGGCTGTGGATATAATTCAGTGGTAGAGCCCCTGCCTAGAGTTGCCCAGTAAGGGGCTGGGGGCATGACTCAGTGGGTAGAGCCCCTGCCTAGAATCCCCCAGTGAGGGGCTGGGGTGTGGCTCAGTGGTAGAGACCCTGAATAGAATCCCCCAGTGAGGGGCTGGGGTGTGGCTCAGTGGTAGAGTCCCTGCCTAGAATCCCCCAGTAAGGGGTTGGGATAGTTCAGTGGTAGAGCCCCTGCCTAGGATCCTCCAGTGAGGAGTTAGGGTGGCTCAGTGCTAGAGTCCCTGCCTAGAATCCCCCAGTGAGGGGCTGGGGTGTGGCTCAGTGGTAGAGCCCCTGCCTAGAATCCCCCAGTGAGGGGCTGGAGGTGTGGCTCAGTGGTAGAGCCCCTGCCTAGTATGTTCCAAGCCCTGGGTTCCATCTATAGCAACACCAGAGAACAAGAATAATGAATGAATGAATGAATGAACGATTGAAGACTAGATCTACAGTGGTGGAGTTAGGACACAGCTGTTATCAACTGGGCGACACCCCATCAAGTCACTTGTCTCTAGGGGGCCTCTGAAAAAATGACAATAATAGAACAGAGCCACTCAATTGCTGTGTGGTCTTCCTGAGTTAATCCACTCCAGGTAAATTTGAATCAGGCCCTGGGTCTCACTATATGTAGCACAAGCTGGTCTTGAACTTGAGATTCTTCTGCCTCAACTTCCTGAGTGCTGGGATTACAGGTGTGAGCCACCATAGCTGGCAGAAGCATTATTTCTCACTGCTAGCATGTTTAGTATCAATTATAAAATAACAGGCTTTTGTTTGTCTTAAATCTGCAAGCTTTTGACATTGTACATTGAATCTCTCTGCCTTACAACACTGTGAGCTTCATAGGAGAGTGATCAGATGGTTTAACTCTATCTGTGTTCCCGGAGCCTGGAACACACCTGTCACAGGGTAGGGACTGTATTGTGGGGTAATGGGATAGAAGGATAGACGGATGATAGGATGGATGTGTGGGTAAATGGAAGGATCCCTCCCATCATTATCCCATCGAGACACTCAAACCCTCTCACCCGCCCCCCACCCCAGCGAGCCTCCTCCAGCCCCGCCCCCACATACTTCCTGTGATGGTGATCCTCCTGCCCTGGTAGTAGTCTCCAAGGGTCACGGCATTGCCCTGCTTGGTGGCCACCACCCTGACAGTGCGCACACTGTCCTGGCACTCCACATAGGGGTTGTAGCCAGGGTTGCCAGCTGCCAGCTGGGCATTTATCTGGTTCTCCACACTGGCGGGGGAGAAGGCATCGGCCACGCGGTCTCTGCAGAATGACTTGTACTTCCAGATCACAATTGGGGTTGAGATGGAGCTGCTCATCTGATAGGTGCAGGGCAGCGTCACCGGTTGGAACAGGATCACCACGTGGTAGGGGTCCGACACGGTCACCTGGATGGTGTTGGCCGGAGCTGGGAGCAGAGGAGCCAACAGAGAGAGCTGAACTCAGTGGGTCCCGCACCAGCAAGGAGCCACGCCACTTAACAGTGAGTGCGGGTTTTTTTTTTTTTTAGAGCACTTGGCATACTGCTCCTTAATCCCTTAAACTGGTGAGGCAAATTGGATGAGGTGGCCCATTTTACACACCCTTGGGGCTGAAAAGTGATATATATGTAGCCCCATAGGCCAGGTGCCTGGAATACTCTGTCCACCTTTTCCTACTCAGAGACTCCTCAAAATGCACACCCAAACACAAATAGAACCCTTCGGGCCCCAACTGAGCCAATATTCAATGTAAGCGCGCACTGGCCAGCGGAGGATGGTTACAGGTTCTAAAGTTCACCCTACAGATACCCGGGAGGTGGGTGGGGTGGGGAGTCCCCAATTCCACACCCACTCCAAGCCAGGACTACTCTTTCTCGAGCTCTTTTTTCAGGGAACGTCGGATCTAGCCCTCGAGTGCTCTCTCCCCGTTACCCCAACACTTAGAATTCTTGGGGTGTACCCAAGACTCCAGTGCCTGGCTTTCCCGTGATGCGGGGGAGGGCATTGCTCCTGTCCCACAAAGGGTACAGTTCTCAGGCTTAGAATCCCCAGAGTTTCACTTCCTGTTATCTCCAACAAAGGCGGAGGAGCGGGCTGGACGCGCCAATAAAAGAAATCCCCTTCCTCTGGCACACAGGGGTCTCCCCAGCTAGGCAGAATCTGGTGGTCTCGAATCTGTGCCCTCGAACTAGCCATCACCCCCGCCTCTTGGTTCCAGCTCCTCCAGGACCGGTGAAAACCGCAGCCCTCCATCTACCTTCTGTAGTGCCCTCCCGCCGTCCCACAGCACCGGGGACCCCCCATTCCTTACCTGGACAGTAAGTGATGAGAAAGAGCCACACGAAGAACATAGTGGTCGGGCGGGAGCCAGGCGCCTCAAAAGGCGCGCTGGGCGCCGGCGCCATCGCGGCCGTCTAGCAGCGACGGAGCCCGCGCGTCCCCTCCCAAGTATCCCAAGAGTAGGGGGCACGGCGAACACCAAGGCCGAGAAGGGTACTTGCTCCGCCCGGCCCTTAATCCAAGTCCATTTTCTCCACACTGAAGGAGTTCTAACCTACAAAAAAAACTTGGACGAAGCTCATGTCTTCGGCTCTCCCGGGACAACTGACCCGGTGCGCGATGGCTCTCTGGGTCACTCCACCCCCCTGTGCACTCCCAGGAATGGATCCGCCCAGGTACACAAGGGTGGGAGCCCTGGGGCTGGGCTTGGGGGTGGGCGGCGGAGGAGGGGCTTGTGGGTCTCCCTCCCCGGAAGTGGGCTGACTCAGGTGCGCTCCTGCCCTCAGGGTCTGAACCAAGTGACCACTTAGCCCGGAGGGCGCCCGCACCCCAGGCGACATGTGCAACCACCTGCTGCTCTGGCCAAAGTTGATAGGACCGCGCTCCCGGAAGACAGAGACCCCCTGGGGGTGCTCCACCTGCCGAGAGGGGCCGGCCCTGCTGAGCACCTGTTCGATGACGGTCCCCACCCCTGTCTCCGGCGCCGATGGACCCGCCTAGGTGCGCCCTGCGGGGAGGTGCCAGGCCGAGCAAGGTCCCGGCTGGCAGAGGCGTGTCGGTGACGCTGCCTGCCTTCCCACTTTCGTCCCGGTGGGGGAGGTGTCGCGGGCTTTCTGGGCTCCCAAGTTGGCTGACTCAAGTATCAATGAGGCCCCCCCTTGAAGTGATGCTCTGGCCCCGCAGGCGATGCTCGTGGAGACGGAACTTTTGAAAAAGTTGCAGTCGTTCTTTGGCAATTTCCTTACTTACTTGTGGTTCCCTCTCCACCTCCCCTTCGGTCATCCCTTACTCTAGGTCAGGCTTCCGGAAGTTCTGACGCTTAAAGGCGCTGTGCCCAGACTGGAGGCCGGGAGACTTGTTTCGGTTCAAAGGTTCCCAGGCCGTCACCTGCACCCCGGGAGCGGCCAGCGGCTCTCGGCCTTCTCAGCGTTACACTGCTGCTCCCTGGTGGCGTCGAGGGGAAGCGCATTCTGGGAGATTGTGAACTGACCGGTGCGTTGGGAATACTATCATTTTCTTCTGTCTTGTAAAACTCGGTCACATCCTTCTGCTCAGGAATATCCCGTAGCCCCTCCTTACTCCCAAGAAAAATCCAAAATACTCATACCGGCCTGATTGTCCCTCCCCAACGTCACTTTGCTCTCTTCGCTTATTTGGCTTTGGCCACACTGACCTGGTGTGTCCCAAATCAGACACATGGCTGGTGTCGCTACCAGAATTTCTTTCCTGCTGAGGACACCTCATCCCATTTTCCTCAGGGTCGCATTCAAAGGCAAACCCTTCTCATAAAATTTCACCCTGCTTATGAGCCGTTATGATTTAAAAATAGAGGAAATCATCATAGCCATCATTGCTACCGTTTGTAATTCTAAACCCGTAATACGCATTACTTTGTGTTTTGTACACCCTTGCTATTATCATTGTTATGGATACCTAGGACCTTGGTCATCCATCATCTTCAACGTAGGAAAGAGAATCTGTATTAGGTTAGAACCCATTCTAATCACCCCATTTTCACTCAGCATTTTTATATACCCCATCTCTACACAAAGATAGATGCGTGCTTCCTCCCAGGGCAGGCTTCTCCCCAACGTCTCTCTCCCGTTGTTTCCTTCTCGAATCATTTACTGTCATCTGGTATTTACTAGCTACAGTTTCTCCACCTATCTTTTCCTGTCCTAAAGACAACGTTGCTTAGTAAATATTCCACCTCTGTATCTCCCGGCCCTCCTGCAGTTATGGGGGGGGGGGCTACATTAGGTCAATTATGGTTAGTAGCATCTGTACAAAAGTAGAGCGGGTTCCCCTCCCAGTCCAGAGCATTTAATCGACAGGATGCCTTCCCCTGCCCCAGCAACCAGTGTTGTTTCGGACAGCGTCTGTGGGGACCTTGCAGGGGAGCCCTCCCCACTAACCAGTGCTGGGTATGAATGTGAAAAAAGAAGGGGGTTATAAAACTAAGATTCCGGAATGATGAACTCTAGACTGTCACGATTAGTACATCCCCTTGACACCAAGGGGATGATTTAATGATGATTTAAGAATCTTTCCTATGGCCGGGCAGTGGTGGCACAAGGCTTGCATCCCAGCACTCAGGAGGCAGAGGCAGGCAGCAGCTCTCAGTGAGTTTGAGACTGGCTTGATCTGCAAAGCGAATTCCAGGACAGCCAGGACTGTTACACAGAGAATCCCTGCCTTGAAAAACCAAACAAACAAACAAAAATTCTATCTCTAGGAGTAGGAGAGGTGGTCCTTGTCAGGGCTTCCCACTGGACTTCAGTATCTGTGTGTCACCCTTTTGATGGACACGAAGCCCTTGTCCCATTCCCATGTCAGACACTTTTTGTCTCCGAGACATAGGCCTGTGAGAAATAGGGTTTTTGTTTGTTTTGTAAAATCTTTATTTTATTTTTGGCTCATGTTATCAAAGGTTTTGGGACATGTTTGGCTGGCCACATCATTTGGGAGCTTGCATTTCAAGGCTGGTGAGGCAGAGAACTAAGCTTGCTGCTTGCTTCACAGAGGCTAGGAAACAGTCAGACAGACAGGAAGGGGCCAGGGACAAGGGAGACCCAAGGACTGCCCTACTTCTGCCAACTGAGTTCCGCTTTCCAATGATGGACCAGCCTGACTCCATCTTAAGATTAAAAGCCATCTCGCCAAAGTACGTTCATACTTGTTTTCTGAAAAATTGAATTTGACCATGTCTTGACCCATTTTTTGGAAGTTGACATGTCCCACACCTATATTCTGACCCCCCCCCCCCGCCCGGTATGATGTTCTGCCACATAATATTGAGATGTTCCTCCTCCTACATAACTAAAAATTCTTAAAAACCCCCTGGCCTTGAAATTTGAGGCTAATATAAACCCAACCTTCTTCCATGTTTGCTACTAAACCCCACCTTTAGACTGATGGCCCTGACAGAAAATAAAGCTTGTGTAATCTAACCCAAGCGTTTGGGTAATGGTCTTTCCTATCATTCGGTGGGATAAACACTAATGTTTTTCAATACCATCAACATCAGTACCACCATCTGCGACTCAAACGTGTGAACTATAGTGTATGTTTGGATTCAAAGCACGCACTGTCTTCATGTACTGGATATGTGAGGGTGGATAATTTGCCTTTTGAGTTCATCCTATCTACTTACTGGGGTTATGTAAATTATTGTTGGAGGAAGCCACTTGTTGGTTCCTGGCTACTAAGCCCTGAAATAATCACACAGAAATCATGTTATTTAAATCACTGCTTGGCCCAGTAGCTCTAGCTTCTTATTTGCTAACTCTTACATCTTAATTTAACCCATCTCCATTAATCTGTGCATTGCCATGAGGTTGTGGCCTACCAGTAAAGTTTCACTACATCTGTCGCCGGTGGCAGCTCCATGGCTTCTCCCTAACTCCACCTCCTTTCTCCCAGCATTCGGTTCAGTTTCCCCCACCTAGTTCTGTTCCCCCTATAGCTCTGCTATGGGCCCAAAGCAGTTCCTTTATTAACCAATGATATTCACAGCATACAGAGAGGAATCTCACATCAAGTTATATCTTACTCATACATAGTTCAGTTTTTGTTTTATGTTCATGTGTCTGCCTGCATGCATGTCTGTACACCACATGTGTGTCTGGTGCCCACAGAAGCCAGAAGAGGGCAGAAGGTCCTCTGGAATTGGAATTGCAGACAGTTGTGAGCTGGTGTGTGTGTGTGTGTGGTAGGAATCAATCCCAGGTCCTCTGGAAGAGCAACTGGTGCTCCTAACTGCTGAGACATCTCTCCAGCCTAAGTCTTATATGTTCGATGTGTATTTCTGAAAACCCTCCGGACCCTGGTACACAGGGCTTAGCACCCAAGTTCTATGGGTGACATCACAGTACTCAAGAAGGTTCTTAAGTTCTTCCCGTAGTCTTCAGCCATGCTGGCCACTCTGTGGCTGGCTACTCTTTCTCTTCCTGTGCTGTGGGCCCAGAAACTAATCAACTGTCCCCATAAGAATGTGTGCCAGTACGCCGTACTCTCGGGCAATGACGTGATTCTGCAGTGTAACCACCCCAAAGCACTATGGTATTTTTCTTCCTCTCTGGACGACAAACTGTCCCTGATCAACTCCATGCCCAGTGTGAAGATACTGTCTGGGAGCAACCTGCAGTTATCCAACCCTCAGCCGTCCCAGACGGGGCTTTACCGCTGTCTGGATAATTACAAGGCTCGTGTGGTGGAATATGAGATAGACTTTCAGGATATAGCCCTGCTGCATATCACACACAAAGACCTGGGCCAAAGGCCCCTGGAAAATGAGACCATGAACCTAGAAGGAGAGGTACTCGTTTTTACCCACTGGGATCCTTGGCAAGACTGTAACCGTTGCGAAAAGCCGGGTGAGCGCAAACGTCTGGGTTACTGCTACGTGGAGGAGCCGCTAGGAAAACCCATGCCCTGCTGGCTCTACCTGAGAAAGGAGAAGGTGACCCACACCCGCCTGCGGCCTGAACTCCAGCTACAAGCCTGCCAGGTGCCCTGTGATACCATCACAGAAACCACCCAGCCATACTTCGTCTTTGACACTCTTCAGCTGGACAAAACCGCCAACCACGGGTGGCTCAGCTGTCCTTTGGCTTCCATCTACAGGTAACTGGAGCAGGGCCCACAGCCGTTCTCTTGGCTCTCCATCAGTCCTGTTCTCTGGGGTCTGTCTGCTGCTAGGGGGAGGTCTCCATCCAGTAGATAAGATCTTCCTCCATACCTAGAAGCCTTCATGATAGGTGAGAGCCTAGAGTCACTGGCTTGCTTAGACATTGTCGCACCAGAGATCTCTGAGATGCTGAGGAACATGGTAACTGAAAAAGGATCTATTTTCTGCCAGCACAGGCAACCTGGAGCCAGAGACTCAGGTTCAGGTTCAGCCAATGGAAACATGGATGTGGGTCCTGTCTGCTGACTAGACCCTGAAGAACATGGTTTGCCCATGTTCTCTCCTTGCACCAGTAACATGTGTCTTAGTCCTTTCTCTTTTGGGTTTTTCGAGACAGGGTTTCTCTGTAGCTTTGAAACCTGTCCTGGAACTTGCTCTTGTAGACCAGGCTGGCCTTGAACTCACAGAGATCCACCTGCTCTGCCTCCCAAGTGCTGGGATTTTCTTTTTTTTTTTTTTTGAGACAGGGTTTCCCTATGTGGCTTTGGCTGGCCTGGAACTTGCTATGGACCAGGCTGGCCTTAAACGCACAAAAGATCTCCCTGGCTCTGCTTCCTGAATGTTGGCATGAAAAGTGTGCGCCACCACACCTGGCACATATTTGTTTCTTCCTCTGTCAATATTTTATGTAAGTAGGCGAAGGGTCATGATATGACAAAATAATTATTAGACAAAGAAGTATCAACAGTTATAAGTGCTGCATGCAAAAGCTATTGGTAAAAACATAGATTTATCAGGACAGCCAGAGTATGTAGTAAGGCCCCATCTCAAAAATAAATAAATAAATAAAAGTCAAAAACAAGCAAAACAAATAAGCAAAAAAGCCAACCCCCAAACTTGCCGGAAGACGGTTTATCAAATGTTTCCTGGTGACTGCCCTTGGTTGTTACAGCTGTGGATGATATTTTGGTTTCTTTTTTATTGGTTTTTAAATCATCATAAGAATCTCATAGTTACTTCATTTTTAAATGTAAGATTTATTTGTATTTTATGTGTATAGGTGTTTTACCTACATCTATTTATGTGCACGCTATGTGTGCAGTGCCCACAGAGGCCAGAAGAGGACGATAGATTGCCTGGCACTGGAGTTACAGGAAGGTAAATAACTCAAAATAGCTTCAGGAAATCCCTGGAACTGACCAGATTCACTAGGTCCCTTCCTGCCAGAGTAAACAATAAAAACTACAAAGATTCTGAGATCAAACCAGCTGCCTGGAAGAAGCAGAAACCAGCTGAGCTGTCTGGAAGAGGGTTAGACCATCTGAGGCACCTGGAAAGGACATTCTCCAACCTGTTGAGCTGTCAGTGGGCTGTGCAGTGGGCTCCAGGCTCCCAGCTTTTGTGAGTTGTCACCGGTGCTGGGGTGGCTTTTGTTGATGCAGCTGTCTTTGAGTCATTTCTGCTCCTGTAAGCAATCCCAATAAACTCATTGATTCACCATACACACACACACACACACACACACACACACACACACACACACATGCACACACACACACACACATGCACACACACACACACACACACAGGAAAATACATGTAAACAACAACAAAAACAAGAGTAACCAACCAACCAAACAAAAATCAGGTAGTTTTAAAGAAAAATCTTCATAAAAGCACAGTTCTTAAGGACTAGCTGAGGACATTTGAATGGCCAGGGGCTGTTTCCCTTAGGAACAGTTAATCCATAGCCAGCATTCTAGCAAGTTTCTCAAAGGTAACTCCTGTGACTGGCAGAGATAGTAACATCTGACCTTGTGTGATGTGTGTTGCTAGAAGCCTTGTTTCTTTATTAAGTGTGATGCCTGGTGCAGAGCAGTGGTGGTGCACAGCTTTAATCCCAGCACTCGGGAGGCAGAGACAGGAGGATCTCCATGAGTTCAAGGCCAGCCTGGTCTACAGAGCTAGCTCTAGGACAGGCTCCAAAGCTACACAGAGAAACCCTGTCTCGCAAAACCAAAAACGACCCCCCCACCAAAAAAAGAGTTGATGGCTGGCATTTGATATTCACCAAAATATCTCTGCAGTGGGTGGACCACAGAAAATCATGCCTTGCCGGGTGTTTTGTGTTGTGTGGGTTGGTTGTAGAAGGGGGTCACTCCAAGACTCAGGGAGAAAGTTTTGTGAATTGAACCTTGAACAATCATCAAAGGCTGATTGATTGATTATTATACAAAAGCTGAAAAGCTGTTTTTTAGGGAGGGAGGGTAAAACAAGTTCCTCAGAGTAAAGTCCCTGGCCTACCCTATATGTTTTTCTGAAGGAAATCATCATGGCCTTCCCCCACATCAGTCCTTATCGCACACTGTTTGCTGTACCAAAGAATCGAGGATATCCATGTGTGCCAGGACCATCCAGTGACTAAAGTCATGCAAGGGCTCTCCGTTCCTCCAGAAAAACAACGCTGTAGATAGCAGAAAAGAACTGTCGTCTCCCACACGGAGTTCTTCAAGGTCGAAGTACTTCTAGAAAAGAACTATTCATTCAGAGGTTTGCCCCAACACAGTACCAAACAACTATTTCATGCTAACGTTTACCCCAGATACAATGATCCTACTGGATTTCTGCTACAATGTCTGGATCATCTCAAATTTCCTGTCTGAGAAGGTATTTAGGGAAAGATTTGGGCCAGAAGAAACTGTGAACAGTACGTATTTATTTAAGATCAATTGAATTTTGCAGCTATCTTGGAGGCAAAGTTAGGGACCGACATGTCCAAAGGTCCTGAAACAGGAATGCCTCTGCTTGGTTGGAATGCTCTGGAAAACAGGGCAGAAGTTAACATGAATGGGGTGCCCAGAGAGATACAGGAAATCAGAACCGGCAAGGATTTGGCCACAGCTCTACCTCAGGGTTAAGAAGTGTGTCAGGGAGCTCAAGAGAGGGCTCAGGGGGGAAGAGCTTTGCTGCTGTGACTCCAGGAAATCCCGCGCCCTCTTCTGGTTTCCTCGCCAGGAAATCCCGCACCCTTCTCTGGTTTCCTCGGGTAAAAGGCACACATGTGGTAGGTAGACACACATAGAGGTAAAATACCTATACACATGGAAGTAAGACTTTTTTTTTTCTTTCAGGGATTAGAACTAGGGAGTTGGCTCAGTGATTAAGATCACTGGTTACAAAAACTTTCTTCCCTCCCCTTACCCCTTACCCCTTGCCACCTTCAGCAGCTGAGAGAGCTGGCCCTGCCCCTCACCAGCAGCAGCACACAGGAGAGCAGGCCCTACACCTTGCCTGGGCAGCACACTAAAGCTGACCCTGTTA